GTTAAGCTCAAAAAATGGTGTTGGCTGGTCTGAGGCCGAAGCTGGCTGAGATGGTTCCACAGGCGGCAACTGGAAGAGGCTGGAGGGCGGCCGGAGGGGCGTCCTAGGTCTGTCCCGTCCACACACTGTTGAAGCCAGAGACAGGGCCAAGGGGCCACCACGGGCACTGCCAGTAGCATTCTCATCAGGCTCCTTTTAATCTGAGGTTGTTCTTAGTATTACACGTTTCTTTTTCTTTGTGTTTTGTTTTGTCCTATTAAAGTTCTTCCAATTGAATTAGTCTTTTCAAAGTACCAACTGATAGACTTATTTATACATTTTCCTATAGTGTTTTTGCTTTCAAATGAAGTCCTGCCTTTATCATTATTATATCCTCCCACTTAATTTTTTTCTGACTTTTCTAAACATTTACTTCGAATGCCACCTCAGCAGTTTTCTTTTTCTCTGGTAAGAACATCAAGCCTGTCGTGATTCAGTGTGTCCTTTTCACTAAGTGAATGAAGTCTTGGTTTCCTCTTTGACAAATGTTCTATAACTTACAAGTGTTTATATTGAATTTGACTGTCTTTTTGGTATTAATTTCTAGTTTTATTGCACTACAGGAGAGTATATGGCTTGGGCAATTTCTACTTGTTAAAATTTTATTGAGATTTTCTCTTTGTGGCAAAAATAATTGTTGAAATTGCTGCCATTTTTCTATGGATATAAAGGAACATGATAGTGAAAATTTTAGGAAGTAAATGCTCTTATTTTAAATTTTAACTTTTTTACATATTGGGTTTTCTTGATGATTAGTGATGTTGAAACTGTTTTTTAAGTGAGTATTAGGATTTCACTCTTCTGCTCCTTTCCGCTGTGAAGTCCGAGCACCCGCTCCTCGGTGCACCCCGTACATCTGGCTGCCGGCCCTCCCCAGGCAGCCGTCAGTGGCTGCTCATCTGCAGACAGAGAAGCGCGTCCCATTCTGTCACTTAAGACCCAGAGGTTGTGGTCTTGAAGCACTAGTCCTTGACCAAGGTGGGAGACGGGGAGCCCTCATGACAGGTGATGTCCACCTCATGGGCCCCCCAGCCTTCCTCCGGAACCCTCCTCTCTGGACCTGCCGCTCCGCAGGCTGCCTCGCCTCCTGCACAGCAGGGCCTGGCCAGGCACTGAACACAGGCCGACTCTTGGGAGATGACAGCCGTGCAGGTCACCGGCAAACCGAACAAATGTCTCGATGTTCTCTGTGCCCTTGGTCAAGCAGGCGCGCCCCAAAATCTGGTGACAGTTTTGAAGGAGCAGATTAAGTCTTATATTCTCCCAGTAACTTAGACCTGCAGTGTTTTCTGTATGTTACGCGGAAGCCTCAGGGCAGGGGTGGGGACATCACACGCCTCACCAGAGAAGCAGTTCCAGCCAGCACATTAGGGGTGAGTTAAATGTTTGACCAAACAGAGTAGGCTAATATTTATGCTAATGGTTTTGTATGGCCCGAGAATGTCACAAATATCCAAATGGCTCTTGGCAGAAAAAAGGTTCCCCGCCCCTGACTGAGGGGCACGGGCTCGGCAGGGACCCGCATTCCCATTCCACCAGGACATTCACAGGAAGGCACAGGAGACCCTCACTGAGCTGTCAACCCCGTGTGCCTTCCCCTGCTTTGGAATGATGCTCGCCCTAGTCATTTGACTGCATTTTGTATACATGAAGGTGGATCAGCTTTGATCCTGCAAATCAGGTGTTTTTAAGATTTTGAGTTAAGTCCCATTCTCTGAAAACCTCCCAGTCTCAATATAAACAGCTTCCGGTGGTCAGAGCGCAGAACACACGGGCCTGGGAGACCTTCTCTCTCCTCCACCTCAGACGCACCTGTGATTGCTTCCTACTCAGGTGGCTCGTTGTGAGTCCCGTGGCTACAGTACTGTTTATGCACAAGGTGGCCTTCCCTTCGGAGAGCACTGTCCCAGCAGCCGCCCCGAGGGAGCTGCATGCCTCGCCCCGCGCCCCCCGCACAGCTCCCTCCCACCGCGCTGGAAATCAGCCGGGAGATTTGAAGAGTGGCTGGTGGAGAACGTGGTCCGGGCTGCCCCACGGACAAGACCCGTGCCCACCTCGGCCGTGGCTCTCGGCTCCGGTTCTCCCGGGAGAGGGGGCAGGACACTGTGCTTGCCACTTGGACGGCTCCCAGGAAGTCACTTGCCGCAGGCCCCGGGGGGCTCAGAGCACCCGCACTTGCTCTTACTCGAGGTGAAGAAGTCAGGACGAGAAGGTGGCTTCCCTGGGATGTCTGGGTCTCCGGTCACCCACCTCATTCCTAAACGACCCAGGACAAATCTTTCCTTCGTCTTAATTTATTCAGCTGATCAGAACTGAGGCCATTAGACAATGAACACAGGGAGCAGAGCCACTGGCTCAACAGAAGTGACGCAGATGACGAGTGATGGGAAACGAGGAACAAGCAGAAAAGCAGTCTTGGCCATGGGGAGTGACGCCAGGTGAAGCCAGTGAGGGGAAGTGGGCTTCGCAAGGTAGAACCGGACCATGATGCTCCCCGGGCTGGCGGGGAGGTGCGGGGACTCGGCGTTCCCTGGATGCCACCCTCACCTGTAAATGGGACACTAAGTCCCCTCAGAGGGTGCTCACACGGGGCTCCACAGTGGTAACAGGTCACAGTGCGAGGGCAGGGCCGACCCAGGGCACTGGGGCTCACCTGGCCTGACCCTCTGAGCCCACGCGGTGCCTGCCGCTCACCCGGCCTGACCCTCTGAACCCACGCGGTGCCCGCCGCTCACCCAGCCTGATCCTCTGAGCCCACTCACCCGGCCTGACCCTCTGAGCCTGCGCGGTGCCCGCCGCTCAGCTGGCCTGACCCTCTGAGCCCGCGCCCACAGCTGGTTTGTCAACACTCGGCACGGACGCTTCCAGAAGGGAGCGCGGCCGCCCCTCCGAGGGGCTGGGGCAGCCTCACCTGAGGTGGGGCCTCCCTGACAGGCCTCCTGGCAAGTTTCCTGGACGTCTAGGAGCTGGCACCAGAGGGAGCTGGCACCAGAGGGCAGCACCCAGCGCACCTTCGGAAACTGCTGCCGACCGAGAGGAACGGGATGCGTTACAGCTGCCTCACGGGTTATTCTTGGTAATAAGATGGCACTTCTTTCTGGGAAAACCGTAACTTAGTCATTTTAATCACCCAAACACTGAGTGATAGTGAAAACCAGCCCCTTTTCTTTGGCTGCTGCATCCAAGAGACCTAGCAGTCCAGTGGCTTGAGGGTGAGCCTGTGTCTTTGTCCTGTGATGACGACAATGGCAACACGGGGTGGGGAGGCGAGGTGCTCTAGGCTGGGGTGCAGGGCCAGCAGGGTCCTCCCTGTCACATGACCACACCTCGCTGCACAACCTTCCTGAACAAGGGAGTAAGAGGCTGGGAGGGCCCAGAGGCCTGCTGCAGCCCGTCACCAGCACACGGGATAACTGGCCCAGCGTTTTTAAAGGGTGAGGCCGACTCGGACTCCACTGTCAAAGGCAGAAACCCCGTCAGGGTTCCACCTCCACCAGCTACCAGAACAGGTGGGCTCGGGACGGGCTCCGCACAGACTCGGCACGGTGCTCTGACTGGGTTTGTTCCCTCTCCACCTTCTCGGGCTCCCAGTGCGGCTGAGAACTGGAGCAGCCCCATTTCTGCTGGGCTCTGGCAGGCGCGACGCGCCCCGGCTGAACGCGCCCCGGCTGAACGCGCCCCGGCTGAACGCGCCCCGGACCCTCCCGGCCAGCCAGCCAGGCTCTCCCTCCGCCCGCCCTCTCCTCTCGCTCAAGAGAACCTGACGGCCCAGAGCCCCCGGCAGTGGACGCCCCCAGCTCCGGCCAGGGCAGCAGGACAGGTGCTGCTCAACACACACAAACATCTGAGCTTCCTTAACAACCACTGGCAGAGGTGTCTGCCAAGGGGGAGGGAATGTCCAGCCTGAGGCCCGTGCCTGGCCCAACTGGGCTGAAGGAAATGATAGAGGCGGCTGAGCTGCGGCTCCTCCTCAGGCAACCATCACTCCCCACGGAGGGTACTCGTCATGGCTGTAATCCATAAAATGGGTTTACTAAGGAAATTATATAGCAATATACGCTTCAAACCATCTCTCAAAATTGTTTTTTTTATTAAAAATTATTTCCACCCTTGAAATTTCCCAGAACGTATAGCCTCTGTTTTCTGCTACTTTAAACACATCATCGAAGAGGGGTCATTGTTAACGTCACGTGAGCATGAAGAGCTCCGTGAACCAGGGCACTCTGGGAGCCAACCGCGAACCGGCGGAGTCGCTCGCTCCCTGGCAGAGCCCCGGCTCCTTGCCGCCCGCACCCGCCCGACACTGCTGGAGACCACGGCCGCAGCCTCAGCGGGCCTTGCCAGGCGGACGGCGGGCGGGGAGGGCCGGTGGCGTGCCAAGCGCAGGCTCGTTTCCGAGGACATGTCGGCTGTGGGTCGATGGGAAGACTGGCAGGAGCAGGGAATGGGCCGTCACAGGCTCACCACACACTGGGCCACAAGGAGGTCAGGAGAAAGGGGCTTCCGGCCCAGACCACCAGGTCCAGGGTACTGTCCTGGCACCAGCCAGTGTAGACAGGTCTTCACCGCCCAGAGGCACAAGCCTCCTGCTGGTCAGAACCCACCCAACACCAGGCACAGACATATGTGCCCTAACAAGCTGGTCCTGAAGTGCATTCTGGGAATACGGTGGCATGCGATTTCATACCAGATCCTGAGACTTCAGAAATACTTCAGCCATTGTCACCAAATCCCTTCACTCATGACAGCAAGGAACACTTTCTTCCAGTTTTCTACGTTTTTTTGTTGTTGTTCCTTACCTGAAGATATTTTTCTATTTATCATCAGAGTGGGAGAAAGGGAGGAAGAGAGAGAGAAACATCAATGTGAGAGAGACACATGGACTGGCTGCCTCCTGCACAACTGACCAGGGACGGGGATGAACCGCAACTGAGGAACATGCCCTTGACCAGAATCGAACCCACGGCTCACTGGTCCACGGGCTGACGCTCTAACCACTGAGAAAACCAGCCAGGGTCAGTTTTCTAAAAGTTTTAAAGTGATCATGAAAAGCGCTGCAGAAGAGCCACAGAGCAGAGAGGAATCAGTGCCCCCGTCTGCAGTGGAGGCCCCTCGGCACCCCTCCTCCAGGGCATCGGCAGGCGCCACCAGCAGGGAGCAGGCCTGTCCCCGTCCCGCAGTGGCTCTGTCCATCAAGCAGGCGCAGAGGGCTCCCTGCTGTCCCAGGACCTCACTTTCCAGCGAAGCTCTAACTGCTGCTGCAACAGTCCTCCGCCCCTAGAGCGCAGCCAGGAAGTCAGGAGTCATCGGAAGTGTTGCTTTCTGGGGAAGATCTGGCCAATAACTTTAAGAAATCCCGAAGAATGTCAAAGGAAAGGTCTGACTGGAGCCCCCGCCGGGGGCAGGAGTCCCGAGGAAGAAGGTGCCTGTGACCTGAGGGCCAGGCGGACGTCTCGTACGAGTCGCGGAGAAAGCGGTCTGTGCGGGCGCTGGCTCTGCCCGGGCACCCGGGCTGCTCCCCCACGGCCCTGCCCGGGCTACACCCTGCAGAGCTTCAGCGGGAAGTTCTCCGTGATGAGGTGGTCTCCGTGCAGCAGCACGACGATGTTCACCTCGAATTCTGGGAAGACAAAGGGCGGCCTTCACTCACCGGCCCAAGCCGCAGGCCCAGCGGCCGAGCAGTGCAGCCGGTGCCGTGGGCTCCCGTGTCCCCTCGCCCGTCCGTCACCGTCACCGTCACCCGGAGGGCTGCACTTGTCTGAGTGCACCTCATTGGGTTTACTGGTTCCTCTGGACATCGCTAACTTTTCTGAAACACCTGTTCAAACGTTAGTCTTTGACCTTTCAGTAAACGGTCCTTTCTCCAGAAGCTCTTTAGCTGCTACAGGGAGCCTTGTGGAAGGAGCAGAGGGGTGAGGGGAGCTCCCTGAGGACGGCCCAGGCCGCCCCAGTCCACGCGGGAGGGGAGGGGCCTGTGTGGGCCGAGAAGCCAGCTGGGCTGCAGGCACAATGGCAGCCCAGTCCCACAGAACTCAGCTGTGTCACCTGGTCCAGAGCCCCACCGATGGCTGGAGTCCCAAGGACGCCGCCCGGTGTGACCGTCGCTTCCCCCAGCAACACCCCGGCAGGAGTGGTGCACAGCAGTGCCGTCCCGGTCCTTCCTCTACTGTGAGCATCCTCGCGGCATGAGAACCCCCTGGGCCTTCCTTCCACCCCCCAGACCCTGCTGTCCCCTGGAGGGCTGGTGTGGCTGGAGTGCAGAGGACGGTCAGGGAGCCGGGACCACGTCCGGGAGCTGGCCCCGGCTGTCCTCATGGCAGAGGACACGAGCAGAGCCATGGAATCAGGGAGGCGTCTGCCCGAGCCTCCAAACTCCGGCCTGACCGGGTACTGACGTCACCTGTGTGATCGGCACCCAGCCACTGCTCTTGAACTTAAGTCACAGCACCCTGACATAAAGCAACAGCACCTTCAGACCACGTGTGCAGTGTCCCGGGGACGGCAGTGCTGGTGGCCAATGTCACACCTCCAGCGGGCCCAGAACGTGGGCAGCTGAGGGCACTCACCCTGCTCTCTAGGCCCCTGGTACCTTTGGATTTTGTTCTGTGGGCACATACTACCTATTCCAAAAGAATTAAACATGTGTTCTGAAAAAAATCGTGGTACCTTGGCTGGGGTCAAGTTTGACCAATGTCATCTTACAGGCGTCCTGACCCCATATGCTCTCAACATAACATTTCCAATAACACACTCAAGGGCTCCACGAACATCAGACTGTGCTGCTGAACCCCAGCGAGCTGAGCTCCGGGACGCACACCGCACAGAGGCCCAGGTAGCACCCAGGATTCAGCGGCAGATGCAACAACCCTTCCTGCTCTCTAAACAGCCAGCATGTGCTCAACTTTGGTGAAGAGCCACACTTACTTACATTTCAAATTAAATTATTTGGATATTTGGAATTGTTTAAGGTAAAATCACAATCTAATTAAAAAACAAAGATTCTCTCTGGAATAAAAATAACACACCTTAAAAGATTTAGGGGGAGCCCGCAGGCATGGCTTGTGGTTAGAGCATTAGCCCACACACCAAAGGGTCACAGGTTCAATTCCTGCTCAAGAGCATGTACCTGGGTTGCAGGTTTGATCCCTGGCCCTGGTCGGGGTCATGCAGGAGGCAATAAATCAATGTGTCTCTCTCACATCAATGTACTTTCTCCCCCACTCCCTCGGGTAAGGATTAACAAAAAAATCCACATATATATTTAGGGGGAATATGACATTAATAAAATGCACTGGCCTTAGGGACTATGTTCCCATTTCTCAGAAAATCAGATGTAACTGAAGAAGCTGCCAAACCCCCATCACCCTTCTTTACCAGTAAGCCTGGCCATGATGCAGAAGCTTGTCCCCAAAAGGCCTAGGCTTCACGATGACTAATGTTCACAGGATTGTCACGTTCCGGGTCTCCAACCTGACCTCCATGCACAGCACTGGCTTGTCCCTTGCCTTAGCCCACACTGACGTGGTCACTGGCATCTCCCTGGGTAACAAAGCCAGAGCCTTCAGAGCTGGGACTACTGGCTGCGGACCCCGCCCTGGCAGCTTCTCAGTGAGCCTCGTCCTGTGGCTGAAGGACCAGGCCCTGAGCTGCACCTGACCCAAGCAGACGGTGTGTCTGTCCCAGGCGTGGGGAGGCCCTTTAATGCGGGCCACGCCCATCACAGAACCCCAGGGCCATGAGGGCCAGGAGCCAGTGCTTACCCACTTTGAAGTTGGTGGTCTCCAGTGTGGGGCAGGTGAACAGCCGGGGGAAGACCATGTATATGGGGACCGACAGGCTCCGGCAAACGTCCCCATCAGCGATTTGAATGTTCTGAATCTCGGTGGCGTCGCGGGCATACCCTTCTGCGCAACCTGGGGGTGGGTGGAGAGCACCATGTGGTCAGAAAATAGCAAACGTCCAACAAGAGGATCAAGGACGCTGCATGGACGCACTCGCCACAGCTCCCTGTCCTCAGACAGTCACTGGAACGAAGCCCCCACCCCGTCCCAGGGGCAGCAGGCGGCCCTCACCGCAGGTCTCCACGCGCACCAGCTGCAGCTCGATGCTCCGGACGGCAGCCTCCGAGCTCTCCACCACCAGCTCTCCGGTGAGCGGCTGTGTGATGACGCAGCTGGTTGAGTTCAGATGCCCTCTGATGAGAAATCTGGGGAGCAAGGCTCTCTAACACAAAACAAAGACATCAAGACTGGAAATGACTCCATAGTCATTTAGGTACAAATAAAAATGGAAAACAAAGATGGATACTTGTTTTTTAATCCTCACCCGAGGATAGTTCTTCCCCATTTATCTTCAGATAGAGTGGGAGGGAAGGAGAGGGAGAGAGAGAGCAACGTGAGAGACACATCGACGGGGTACTCCCGCAGGACCCTGACCAGGGCCAGGGATGAACCACAACCGAGGTAGGTGCGACCGGAATCAACCGGAGACTCTCCGGTCCGCGGGCCGACGCTCTAACTGCTGAGCCAAATCGACCAGGGCAAAATGGATACTTTTTGATAAAATCCACTGGGATCCTGTTTTACAAAATGGAGACAAGGTAGAGGAGTACTTACATCTTTTGCCAACTTAAGTAACAGACTGAATTTTCCACCTCTACCTGCAGATGCAGGCACCTGAGCCCCGCACAGAATCTCCCAGTCACCCTGCCTGCCCAGAGCAGGCTGGGAAGCTGCTTCTCGCCCAGGAAATGATCAATAAGAATGTCTGAGGGAGTGTTCAAGGGCACTAGGCACAGAGACACACACACACAAAGTTTTAAAAAGATAATTTTAAAATGTTCTCAGTAATACAGTTTTGAAAAGTCACCACATTTATGTTACTTCAAAGACACTTAGAACAGTGTCCTCACTTCTTTTAAATTTTTTTTCTTTATTGATTTTAGAGAGAGAAGAAAGGAGAGGAGAAATAGAAATCTCGATGAGAGAGAACATCGACTGGTCACCTCCTGCATGCTCCCCTGGGGATTGGGCCCACAACATAGGCATGTGGGAATGGAATTGGTGACCTCTTGGTGCATGGGTCGACGCTCAGCCACTGAGCCACACTGGCGGGCGTGTCCTCACTTCTTGACTGTAACCTACGGGCCTTCCCTGGCAGAGGAGGCGGCCGGGTGTGGCAAAGGGAACACAAGTGCAGTCAGACAGCAGCTCCCGCCGTCTCTCCTCTGGCTGCGTCCCAAACACTGAGGACGATGCAGAGTTCAGACACCACTGTCCAACACACATACATGAGCCAGTGTGAGCCACCCATGTAATTAAATTTTTCCAGTAACCATATTTTGAAAAGTAAAAGGAAACAGGTAAAATTACCCAGTATATCCAAAATATTATCACTTCCACATATAATCAATATTTTAAAATTATGACGTTTGCATTCTCTTTCTCATGCTGAGACTTTGACACCCAAACCTTATGCTCACAGCTCATCTTGGCTCAGACCAGCCACATCTCAGTACAGTGGTCACATGTGGTCAGTGGCTGCCCTGCTGGACAACACAGATCCAGCTGAAGAGCAAGGAGCTCTGGACCTCGGGACTCAAAGGCAGAGAGCTCTAAAAAGGTCTAAAATAACTAAAGAGAGAGTTCTAAAAATAACTAAAACAAGCTACTTGTTTAGAAAAATAAGAAGTAGTAGCAGTCTACATTAAAATTATTTTAAGCAAATACCTAGCCAGTGTGGCTCAGAGGATTGAGTATTGTCCCATGGACTGAGAGGTCCCGGTTCGATTCCCGGTCAGAGCACATGCCTGGGTTGCAAGCTCAATCCCCAGTGGGGGGCATGCAGGAGGCAGCCAATAGATGTCTCTCCCTCACATCGATGTTTCTATCTCTTTCCCTTCCTCTCTCTCTAAAAATCAATAAAAACATATTTAAAAAGAAGAAAAACTGCCGCCAAAACATTAAAAAATAAAATACAATAAAATTATTTTAAGCAATGAACAATGAAAAGCTCTCAAGATCAAGCATCCCCTCTCCTTGCACCAACACAATGTTAACACACACAAGTGCAAATAAACCTACTTCTGGCAAAGCTATGGACCACCACCCCGAGAGAGCCCAGTGAAACATTTCTGGGATGAAGTGATTGACAACAATGCTCACAAGAGTTCAGGGACTGCGTCCTACAGCTGGCAGAGTTCTGACATGAGCGATCCCAGCAGGCCTTGGGCACTGCATTAGTCAGATCAGAGGTGGGGGCACCCAGGGAAGGGGTCGTCGGTGGGCACTCACAGGTAATGCATCAGAGGGTGGGCAAACTGGCCATGTGTGGGCTCTGGAATTAGCGCTTGCCCCAGGTGGCCCCTAGTTTCCCTCAAGGGGGACTTTCCACCAAGGAGACTCCCAAAGCAGGCTGGGCAGGGCTGGGCAAGGCTGGGCAGGGCTGGGCAAGACGTTTATGGCCACAGTGCAGGAAGGAGCCTACTGATCCAGGAGACAAGCTGCCCACACACCTGCCCTGACAGAAAGCCTCCGGAGCCCGATGCCCTCCCCCTGTACAGTGCCCCAAGCAAGGCTCCTCTGGTCAAAGTGTGTGTGTGTTTTTATTTGTCTGTCTGGTTTTATCCTCACCCGAGGACTATTTTTTTTCTTTTATCTTCAGATAGAGCAGGAGGGAGGAAGGGAGGGAGAGAGAGAGAAACATGAATGTGAGAGACACACATCAACTGGCTGCCACCCACACGACCCCAACCAGGGCTGGGGACAACTGCAACCGAGGTACGTGCCCTTAGCGGAACCGAACCCAGAGACTCTCCGGTCCACAGGCCAGTGCTCTAACCACTGAGAAAACCGGCCAGGGCCAGAGTATGTGTTTGTAACCAAAACAGATTGTCATTTGGGTTAAGACCATACATATTAGATCCTCATCTATAAATATAAACTAGTAACCAAGAATCAATAAACACTTAAAGAAAATAGAAGCGAGAAAAAGAGGCACTCACTCTAGAAACAGAAGAAACGTTCCCTAAGAAACAGCAGCAGCACAGGAGACAGATGACGGGCTCTGCATCGCAATGAAAGGGGCTATCCTGAAAAAGGGCTGTGCTTAGAAATGAATCACAGTGTTGCTGAATAAGCACTCCAGAGCAGGGCTAAAGATTCCCTGAAGAGCAAACCCCCAAACTGGAAGACTGAGCCAAGGGCTTCTGTGATACACCCAGGAAAGGATAACAGACAATTCACTGGGTTGAAGGAAGGTTCAGCCTTCAGAATGAAAGAGACACCAAATGCCAGGTACACAGACTAAAGCAAAATCCAAACCTGGAAAAATACTCTGAAATTTGAGTGCACTAAGGAGGGGAGACGTTGGAAGTTTTGTAGGGGAGCAGGGATGAGGAAGAGAGAGGGAGAAGAAACAGATCAGCTCACACAAATCTGAGGACCAGATTGTTGTCAGTATCACTGGGCACCAGAAAACCAGGGAACTATTTAAGGACAAATGATATTAGAGCCGAAATTTTCTCCCTTGACTAGATTCAAGTGTGGAGCAAAGTAAGGTATTTTCCAGGCATTCAAGGATTTACATTCACTCCTCACCCTTTCTGAAAGAATGACTCTAGGATATATTTCAGCTAAACAAAAAAGTTGAAAATGGAAAACATAAGCGAGTAGAATCAATGGTAAGCAATGATCACAACAAAACTTACAGTTAAGATTACGGAAGGTGACTGATACTTTAGGCCAACTATGAAGAACTGACTTGTAAGCCAATTTAAAGACTTAACACTGGGAAAAATAAAACTAATGACAAGCTAGAACTTAGATTTCAAACATAACAAACAAGGCAGTGTGATGGGAGGAAAATGCAAAAATGTTACCAATCTTCTGCCGGAAGGTGGTTATTTTCAATGCTGTGATTTAAACTTATAACTGTCCAGGTCTGTGTGAACGTTTAAGGGTAACTACAGAGAAAGGAGAAATAGTCTGTCAGAGAAAAAAGGAGAAAACAACCCTAAGAACAGAAAAAGAAACAAATCCTCACAACCTTAATAAATCAGACTAAAGACAGGAAAAAAAAAGAAACAATAAAGTATACCAGAGAGTACAGGACAAGGGTAAGGAATAAAATGTGACAGTTTTCAAAACAAAAAAGAATGGGTTACCTTCCTCTGCCAGAGACTGTATTTCAACAGACCTGGTTAGATTCGGTTTGCAAGGGACGCCGCCTGCTCAGCACCTCTTCCTCTCTCCAGCTATTACCATATTTTGTATTATTTAGAGTCTTCAGAAGTAAGAAATAGGAACTTCTATCCAGCATAAGAACAAGTGGGGCTAACTGGGACACGAGGAACCTCAGGTCGGGGTGAGGTCTCAGTGCAGAGCCGGGCCCAGCTCTACCACCCACTGTCCCTGCGAGCGTCTCCTCACGGTTCGCATTCCTGCAGAAGAAAAGTCTGCATGGCCCACTGGAGGCATGTGCTCTCCAGAAACTGAAGAAGACAGGGAGGGGTGGTAAAGGGACTTGCTGAAAGGCTACCCACGACACAGCCCTGCCCCAGCCGTGGCCCCGAGGGACGAGGCCAGCGTCACTTGTGTGCCCCAGTCCCAAACTTGCCTTCAACCTGACTAATCAACAGGGCCCGGAGAGCAGGTGGTGCAGTGAGAGTAGGAAGAAAAGCCATGTCCATGGATGACCAGAGACAGGTGGCCAGCAATGAGAGAGAGGGGACGGCCACCAGGGCAGGTAGAGTGGGACTGGGACTCAGAGAAGCGTCGACCACAATGCAAAACCAGGAGATGTAAGAAATAACCAACATATATCCTCAAACTTTTCAAAAGTATTAGTCTTCTAAGTAGTTACCAAGTTTAAAAAGAAGTCAAAATAGAAAGTACAGACTATTTTGGGTACAGACGATAATCAGGAATTTCCTCTCGATACCAAAGAAAGAACACTCAGGCCCAGTCTGTCGGAGGGATCCGATGACTAAGAAAACATCCCCGGCATTCGGGGGTGAGGAACACTTACCTCTTTGACATTCTGTAAGGTTTCGGGTGTGATGGTGAAGTCCACAGGACTCGGAGTCAGTTTCCCCTTCTGAGGCTAAAACAGGAGGTAAAACCATATCAGTTGCTTGACAGCCAAGAGTTCTTCAGGTTAAACTGCTCCTTTCCTTTTTAAATTTCTTTAAAAAAAAAAAAAAAAATTTTTTCCCCCCTTTATTGATTTTAGAGGAAGTAAGAGGGAGAGATAGAAACATCGATGAAAAAGAACATCGATGAATAAGAACGATTGGCCGCCTCCTGCACGCCTCGCACTGGGGATTGGGCCCACAAGCTGGGCATGTGCCCTAACTGGGAATTGAACCGACCTCTTAGTGCATGGGTCAACGCTCAACCACTGAGCCACACCGGCCAGACTGCTCCTTCCCTTTTTAAAGAAATGAAAGGCAGCACAATAACCAGGAAGAACTTGGTACTCAGAAGCAGGACACCTGGGCTCTGAACGCAGTTCTGCCCCAAAACTGTTGAATTCTATGTCAAAGTTCTTCCTCCCCATGACTCAGTTTCCTCATCTGTAAAACGAGGGGATAGACTTCTTAATCTCTAAGGTCCAGAATTTAAAAATTAGACTTAAGAACCAGAGTGGCATTCCTAGGAGATATTTTAAACCTCTCTCTCAGAATCCGAGCTAACACCAGAGTATCTACAATGTGCTGCAAAATACACACGGTGACCCTCCAAGTGCTATGTCACTGGTCCCACTTCACAGACAGGACAGTGAGGCACAGAGAGTGTCCACGGCAGAGACGAGGTGCCATCTGGCTCCAGTGCTGGTGCTGTGATAAACTGGGCCACACAACTGTCTACCTGGAAGAACCACTCCTATGAAATATAAATGTTGCCGTAATTAATTAACAATGATCATGTCCACATCATAGCTGCAGAATACACCCAAGCTTCTTCAGGGCCTGCCTGGCATCCCTCACTCAGCGCCCAAAGCCCATGGCACCCAGATGGCAGGGGAACCACGTGCAGGAAGGCACAGACCCGTCTCCCAAGTGGACTCACTTACCAAAAGCTCATTCTAGGGAATATTCTTTACATATTCTTTTTATTAATGGGGTCGCAAACATATATATATATTTTTTTAATAAATTTTTTAATCCTCACCTGAGGACATTTTTCCATTTTTTGTTCAGATAGAGAGGGAGGAAGAGAGAGAGACAGAAACATCAATGTGAAAGGGCCACATTGAGTGGTTGCCACCTGCACGACCCAACTAGAGCCGGGGACAAACTGCAACAGAGGTACGTGCCCTTAGCGGGAACCAAACCCAGGTCTCTCTGGACCACAGTCCAACACTCTAACTGCTGAGTCAAACTGGCCAGGGCCGCAAACATATTCTTTAGTGAATATGTTCTTCGTCACAAGATGTAAAGGATACTTGTCATCAACTACAGGTCACATGACCCACAAGGCTGTACACAACTCTTAAAGGCCACAGACTAATAAGGTGCCAGGGGTGGGGAGAAGCCCAGACGGCTCAGTCACTGCTGACTACCCTCAGGGTTCTGCAGTGAGGAGTGGGCCTGGGTTTTGCTCTGGGCAGGATGCTGATTTGGGCTCATTCTTCACAAAGTTGAAGGTTCTTTTTATTCAGGACATAAAAGGTTTTGTCTTTTTCAGGGAATAATCTACATTTAACAAATTTTTTAAGGTTTTATTTTATTATTTATTTTTAATTTAATTTTATTTTTTATTTTTATTTTTTTTCCAAATCTTTATTGTTGGATGTAAAATGTATTACAGATGTTCCACATTTTTCCCCCATTGATCCCCTCCTCCCCACTCCCGCCCCCCTCCCACCTTTTCCCACACTATTGTCTGTGTCCATTGGTTATGCATATAAGTTCTTTGGTTTATTTCTTCCCACCCCCCCAACCCCTTTCCCTTTGAGGTTTGTCAGTCTAGCAATGAGTTTGTGCTTCTTAATCCCTTCACCTTTTTCACCCATTCCCCCAACCCCCTTCCCAACTGGCAACCAATAAAATGTTCTCTGTATCTATGAGAATGTTTCTGTTCTTCCTGTTCATTGTTTGTAGATTCCATTGTTGATAGATATGTATTCATTGCCATTTTGTTTCTTCATACATTTTATCTTTTTCTTCAAAAAGACCCTTCATCATTTCATATAATAACGGTTTGGTGGTGATGAACTCCTTTAACTTTTTCTTGTCTGGGAAAGTTTTTGTATGTCCATCGATTCTAAATGACAGCTTTGCAGGATAGAGTAATTTTGGTTGTAGGTTCTTGGTTTTCATCACTCTGAATATTTCTTGCCACTCCCTTCTGGCCTGCAAAGTTTCTTTTGAGAAATCAGCTGACAGCCTAATGGGTACTCCCTTGTAGGTAACTAGCTGCCTTTCTCTTGCTGCTTTTAATATTCTCTCTTTGTCTTGAACCTTTTGCATTTTGATGATGATGTGTCTTGGTGTGGGCCTCTTGGGGTTCATCTTGTTTGGGACTCTCTGTGCTTCCTGGACTTGTATGTCTGTTTCCTTCACCAAGTTAGGAAAGTTTTCTGCCATTATTGTTTCAAACAGGTTTTCGATTTCTTGTTCTCTCTCTTCTCCTTCGGGCACCCCCAAGATGCGAATGTTGGCACGCTTGAAGTTGTCCCAGAGACTCCTTACACTATCCTCATTTTTTTGGATTCTTTTTTCTTTTTGCTCTTCTGATTGGGGTTTTTTTGCTTTCTTATATTCCAAATCGATGGTTTGCTCCTTGGATCTACATACTCTATTATTGAAGCTGTGTAAATTATTCTTTATTTCAGTTAATGCCTCCTTTAATTCTAACTGTGTATCCATGATTTCTAACTGGTACTTTTTTATGCTCTTGATGCCCTCCCTAAGTTCACTGAGGTTCTCACTAAGTTCATTGAGCATCCTTATAAGCAGTATTTTGAACTCAGCATCTGTTAGGTTGCTTATCTCCCTTTCGCTTAGTTCTTTTCTTGGGGTTTTGTTCTGTTCTTTCATTTGGGACCTGTTTCTTTGTCTCCTCATTTTGGCTGCCTCCCTGTGTTTGTTTCTGTGTATTACTTAATGAGAGGTATGGGGCTCGCTGAGACCCGGTGCTGCTCGTTTGAAAGAATTTAGGAAAAACCTGAAGCAGGATCCAAGACCGGCCAATCCTATGGTTAAGCAAGTGGCAACAGCTTGAAAGTTGTGTGGGGTGGGGCAGGGCCTCAGGGAGTCAGCAGGGCGGGGCTACCAGTGTGAGCCAGGTTGCTGGAGTCCCAGATATGGCTTCTGTCTGCCGCCCCCGGGAAGGGCTCACGAAAGGAACAAAGGCCTCTGACAGCACGTTTGTCCCCGAGGAAGCCCCCTCTCCAGCTCTCGCTCCAGTGCCAAACAGCTCAGTTCTTCCCTGTGTGTCTCTGGTGCCCCTCAAGCTGCCTCCCCTCCGAGCTTAGAGGGAGAGTCCGATAAGTCCGTGCGCGGGCCCTTTAAGGAGCTGCGTGGGGCTCCAGCCGCTTCAGCTTCCCTGAGCCTCAGTTTCCGCTGGTTTTTCCAGCGAGAAGTTATGGGGACTTCTCTTCCTGGCACTGGAACCCTGAACGGGACACCTGGTGTGGGACGGGGACCCCTCAGTCCTCAGGAAGGACCTTCCCAGCCGCGGGATCCTCCTGATTTTTATCCACCACGCTTGGGTGTGGGACCAGCCCGTCTCGCCGCTGCGCGCTCCGCCGCTGATGCACCGCCGCCCCCCCTCGCGCCGCTGCCCCTCCTACCGGTCTGGATGTGGCTGCTTTTATTTTTTTCCTTAGTTCCGTAGTTGTACGACTTCCATTCAGCTTGATTTCAGGCGGTTTTGAATGATGGTTGTTCTGTAGTTTAGTTGTAACTTTGATGTGGTTGTGGGAGGACGCGATACCGCGTTTACCTACCCACCATCTTGACCGGAAGTCCTAATTTTATTCTTGTTACAGATGTTTCTCCTTTACCCTGTTGACACCCTCCTCCCCCCACCCCACCCCCAGCCCATCCCCGGCTTTGTTGTCCATGTTCATTGGTTATGCATACATGCATGTAAGTTCTGTGGTTTATCTCTTCCCTCTCCCCACCACCCCCTCTTCTGAGGGTTGTCAGTCTGTACCCTACTTCCATGTTTCTGGGTCTACCCTATTCCTCAGACTGTTATGATCATTATATTCCACAAATAAGTGAGATCATGTGGTATTTGTCTTTTTCTGCTTGGCTTGTTTCACTTAGGATAATACTTTCTAGGTCCCTCCATTTCGTCTCAAAGGATAAGAGATCTTTCTTTCTTACAGCTGCATAGTACTCCATTGTGTAAATGTACCACAGCTTTTTTTATCCATTCGTCTACTGATGGACACATGGGCTGTTTCCAGATCTTAGCTATTGTAAATAGTGCTGCTACAAACATGGGGGTACATATATTCTTTCTGATTGGTGTTTCAGGCTTCTTAGGGTATATCCCTAGAAGTGGGATCACTGGGTCAAATGGAAGTTCAATTTTTAATTTTTTGAGGTAACACCATATTGTTTTCCATAGTGGCTGCACCAGTCTGCATTCCCACCAGCAGTGTACTAGAGTCCCCTTTTCTCCACACCCTCGCCAGCACTTGTTGTTTGATGATTTGTTGATGGCGGCCATTCTGACAGGTGTGAGGTGATACCTCACTGTTGTTTTAATTTGCATCTCTCTTGATTAGTGATGTTGAGCATTTCTTCATATGTCTCTTGGCCATTTGTATGTCCTGTTTGGAGAGGTGTCTATTCAGCTCCTCTGCCCATTTTTTAATTGGGTTGTCTTCCTTTTGTGGAGTTGTATGAGCACTCTCTATATATTGGAAATTAGCCCCTTATCTGATATATCATTGGCAATGATGTTCTCCCACAGTGGGTTGCCTTTCCATTTTGATGGTTGTTTCTTTTGCTGTGCAGAGGCTTTTTAGTTTGATGTAATCCCATGTGTTCATTTTTTCCTTTGTTTCTGTTGCCTTAGGTGATGTATCAGTGAAAATTCTGCTGCGCATGATGTCCAAAATTTTGTTGCCTACATTTTCTTCTAGAATTTTTATAGATCCATGGGTCACATTTAAGTCTGCTATCCATTTTGACTTTATTTTTGTGTATAGTGTAAGTTGATGGTACATTTAACAAATTTTTGTGCTTCAATCTAAAGACATGAAAAAATGGAAAATATCCATCTAAATAACATAACTTAGAGAAAAACATTTATACAAGTTTATACATTTATCATTAATAGAGGCCCTTAAACACTGTTTAAAAGAGGAAACTACAAATGTTCAAAGTCTTAAAAAGTTGCCCAACTGGTGTGGTTCAGTGGTTGAGCATCGATCCATGCAGCAAAAGGTCGCTGGTTCGATTCCTGGTCAGGGCACGTGCCCAGGTTACAGGCCAAATCCCCAGGAGGGGGTGTGCAGAAGGCGGCCAATCGTTGTCCTCTCTCATCAATGTTTCTATTTCTCTCTCTCCTTTCCTCTTTCTCTAAAATCAATAAAGAAAAACCAGGGATTTTGCCAATCTTGTGCACAAGATATTTAAGTCGTACATTTTAACCTAATCACTATTAAGGTCCACATGGACATAATAGTGGAAAAGAAATGCAATTGCAAATTTCCCCCCAAAGTTAACCTGCATCTAAAGGTAGCTCTATAAAAGCACCATTCACTAAGGCCTGTGGCAAAGACTTCTGGGACCCTCCAGGTGGGTGCCCTGCAGCTGGGCCCACTGTGTGCTCATAGCCACCACATCCCACTGCACCGCGGGCGGCCTCCAGGAGCCCCGACTGGCTCCTCCTGTCCCTCTGAACTGCTCAGAATCCAACTGAAGCCAGACGTACCACAGGTGGAATCTGGGTGCCATTGAGAGGGAACAAGGCTCCCTCAGATGCAGGTCCGAGGGGGCAGGACCAGCCCTGCACCAGTGTGTGGGCACAGGCAACGGAAGGCCCACACAGCAGCCGATCCTCGAGAACCTGGAGTGGCCCGAGAAACACAAGGGAACCCAGGGCTGTGAGCATGGGTATCTGTCACCATGTGTCACACCGAGGGCAGGCGTTGCCAGTCACTGCTAGGTTCTGCATAAGCAAGGCATAGCACCCACTGGGTTGCAGAGGACTCCCAAGAATTTTTTTTTTTTTAAATACTCACGTGAGGACATTTTTCCATTTTTTGTTCAGATAGAGTGGGAGGGAGAGAAAGGAAGAGAGAGAGAGAAACATCGACATGAAAGGGACACATTGAGTGGCTGCCATCCGCACAACCCAACCAGTGCTAGGGACAAACTGCAACCAAGGCACATGCCCTTAGTGGGAACTGAACCCGGATCTCTCTCGACCACAGGCCAATGCTCTAACCGCTGAGCCAAACTGGCCAGGGCAGAACTCCCAAGAATTTATACGGCGTCACCTGGTGGGGAGGAGGATCCAGTTCCTCAAGTTGACATGTGAGTTTTTTAAGAACATTATGTCACTGCAAAATATCAGCAGAAGGTGTTAGGAGGGGCAACCCACCCTGGCCCTGAGTGTCCCTGTTTGTTCTTGCTGGGTCTGCCAAGAATGTAAGGCCCTGACCGCTCTTTACCAGGGCTGGGCCATCTGAGCTGTTTGCTATGCAACCTTGAGGGCTGACGTAAGCCCCCTTCCAGGACAAAAATCAGCTTCCTCACTGATGCTAATAGAGGTGGGTCCCCAGCTGGCACTCCACAACTGGGGCACAAAACCCTCAGGTGCAGTGCTATGTGGGCCCATGGCATCACCTCGCAGGACTCTGAGCCCAGGGGAATGACCCCCATGCTGATGCTCATGCTGTTGACTACCCAGGAGAATGAGGTCCCTGGTCTCTGACCCAAGAGTCTGTATCTCAGTGGCAGTGAAACAGCAACAGGCTACTCATGAGCTGGGAAGCAGTAAAACCCCAGACCCCGAGCCCCAGGACAGCTTACAGCCGAGTGCACGATGAACTCGCAGGTCTTCGTCAAGTCTCTGGCCAGTAGAGACCGCTTCATGTCACAGCGCAGGGTGTACTAGATGGAAACGTTGGAGAAGAAAACAGCACTTCAGTGTAATTTGCTTTCATCTTGGAATTATATTCAAAAAGACAAGTCAATATTTTAGGGAAACTTACTCTAAATAATGTGTATATTAAATCAATATACATAGTAAGCAAAGTTAACGTTCAAAATAAAGTCATTTCTGTATTAAAAAAACATACTAAGGTTACTCCTCAGCCTACTCCCACAGCCATCCTGTGGCTGGACCCACTGGAGCACGGGTGCAGGGTCCCACCTGCAGCACAGAGAAAGGCTGACATGGAGGAAGGGAAGAGCAGGCACTGAGAAGCAGAAGCTAGTTCTGCTCCAGTTATCTGCTGTACAAATAACACAGCTTCTCTGGGCTCAGCTTCCTGCTCTGTGAAATGGGGACATCACCACCCACCTTCGGTGGGCACAAAGTGAGATGCCGTGTGCTGAGCTGGGTACAGGGCCTGGCCCACAGCGCCTCGCGCACACGCAGCTGTTTTGTAGGAAGGGTTAGGAAACGTGCAGTGTGGACAAGAAGCCCTGGACCAGTCCCAGCACTCAGGGACCAGCGAGCTGTGTGCACGCACTGTCCCAGCAAAGTCAGGGTCACCCTGCACATGGGAGCATCTGGCTCACTGATGAGAAGGCATATGTAGGAACAATGAGCAAAGCCCCGGGACTCCAGGCATCGTAAAACTAACTATACTTTAACCTGAAGGAAGAATAAAGAAGGGTAAGTCTTCTTTCAATTTTAATCTGAAAAATTGAAACACCTAAAAAAAGGAAAGAGAAGAGTAGAAGGAAGCCCCATATATCCCTCAGCTTCCAGAAAGGTCAGCTCACGGCTGTCCTTACTGAGCTCCTCTCCCCAAAGCCCGCTGCTGCACACAGGTGTGTCCTGCTGCACAGGACACAGGCAGGAGGGACGGAGCCGCTCTGATGCTTCACATCACGGTACTCAGCTCCTCTGCTGGCCTCGGCCACCTTCCTGCCACTGTGCTGTGCCTGCTGCAAGACGGGCCCTGTCCTCCGGAGAGAGAGCCCTCTGGGAGCTGGTCACTAAGCTGAGGGCACAGCTTGGACCTGGCACCGTTTCTCTGAATCCCTGTCTGTGGGCTAGAAGACTGGTAACAAAATGCTAGAGCACGAGCACTGCCTGAATGCTCATCTAAAACAAAGGAAGCCACACACCCCATTTAACAAAGCCAGCCGCCGTGTTCATCATCCGGGAACTTGTAGAACTGTGTGCAGTTGACTTGAGCTACAGGTTTGGGAACAACCATCCACAGGAAACAAGAAGTTACTTTACATTTAAGGTACTACTGACAGAGTAAAAGGCTTTTTTTTTTAATATCTTCACTTAAGGACTTTTTTCCATTTTTGTTCACTTACAGTGAGAGGAAGAGAGAGAGAGAAACATCGATGTGAAAAGGACACATCAAGTGGCTGCCTCCCGCACGACCCAACCAGGGCCTGGGACAAACCACAACCAAGTCACATGCCCTCAGCAGAAACAGAACCCGAGTCTCTCTGAACCACAGGCTGACACTCTCACCACTGAGCCAAACCGGCAAGGGCGTAAAAGGCTTTTTGAAAAAGAATCGTCCCTTGCCCTGGCCGGTTTCGCTCAGTGGTTAGAGCATCAGCCCACGGACCAGAGTCCCGGGTTCGGTTCCCACTAAGGGCACGTACCTTGGTTGCAGTTTGTCCCTGGCCCCAGTTGGGGTCGTGTGGGAGGCAATCACTCGATGTTTCTTATATCGATGTTTCTCTCTCTCTTTTCCTCCCTCTCTCCCTCCCACTGTATCTGAAGATAAATGCAAAAGTGTCCTCGGGTGAGGATTAAAAAAAAAAGAATCCCCCCTTGTCTGCAAGGATCCATTTTACTTTTACTTTACTTTTTTTAGTTTTATAATAGTTTATAATTTGAATAATTTATAATTTATAACATAATTTGAGTAGTTTTTAATTTGAATAACTATAAATTCCAATGGGTTAAATCTGAAAAGAAAGAAATATCAATTGAGCTATCAGCTGTTAAATGCATATACCTTTTTTGGGGACACCCTATATTATAATAAATAGACTCTTCTATTTAGAAAGTGTGCAATAAACCACCTTACAGATGTTTTAATGCAACTGAACAAAATGTTCCTCATTATTTACTAAATGCCAGGCACTGTGCTAAGTGCTAGGGATACAAAGATAAAAGGGGTCTTAAATATATATATATATATTTTTTATTCTGTATTGAGATTTCAGTCTGGTCTCCCAACCAGATAAGCTGAGTGAGGGTGATACTATGTAAGTGTGTGATATATGTGCATGTATAATACCTGTATGCATGCATGCCGAATGTGTGTACTTCATCTCCTCCTGTAAACCCCACACACTGTCTAGAATGGGCACTTGTATTTTGTTCCGGCTTGCCTAGTGTTGCTGATTCTTTTCCAAACGGGAACGACCCCCTTCACAGTTTTAGTCTCAGGGTTTGAGCAGGGCTGACCTCCCCTGACCCGACCTGGGTACAGAAGTGACCAGTAAGGCAGGACTGCTGCCAGGGTTGCCAACAGGATAGACTGTGGGCCAGCAGACACTTGCCAGAAGCCAGCTGCACCATGCAAGGGAAGACCTGCCTGCGAATGAGGCCGAGCCCAAGAGATGACTGGCATCCAGTCTGGCCTAAACATTCCCAGGAATTGCTACTTCTATGATCCAATATCCTCCCCCCTTTTTTTTTTTGCTAAGTCAGCCTGAGTTGGATTTCTGTAACTTGCAAATAAAAGGGTGTGAATAACAGGCATCAACTTTTGGTCACAATGTCTTTCAAGTGTGAAAGCAATAATTAGTAATACAAGGCAGCTGGTGATAAGTGGAGGCGGGGATAAAGGTGGAGACGAGGAAATTACTGGTGTTATGTACTAGGAATTGTGTTATATTCCCTTAGATGTACTACCTCAATTCTAACAATATGAGTATAAGAACTGTTAGGACAAGGATAGTCACCATTAACTCATTTCTTCAGTCATTCAGCAAATCTGTACTCGGCACAGTCTCCGTGCCAGGCTCCATGCTAACGAAGCACTTCACGCCAAGACCACATTAATCCCCTCGGAGAGGTCAGGAAGGCTGCTGGGGTACAGAGGTGGGATCTGAATTTACACCTGTCTGTTGCCAAAACCCACGCTCTGAATCTTTACTCAATACTGTAATTAGAGCTCAGATGTGTCTGCTGTAAAGCCCTGGATCTTTGCACTGGATCATGATCTTTCCCGATAACTACGGTGTGATCCAGGTGGTATGAGCTACAGGAGGTCAGAGTGGGTCAGGGTGGTCAGACTTGGGCAGGGCACCAAAAGAAGGTACAAGACTCAATCTTTTTCAATCATCAGTAAACACAACACCAACAGGCATGAAGAAGATGCTTGCCCATAGATTGAAAGCAGACTCCTAGAACAGGTATTTTTTAACTGTGAAAAGGATGACTAGCACCTCTATGAATTAATTCTGAGTCCACAGTTTCAGCAGACATGTCAGTGCTGCTGTGTTTTGTGCCACAGGGTAAGCCTTGCTAGCATGGCCACAAGAGATTCTTGTAAGCACCACCCAACAATAAAGGTGAGACAGGAACGCAACACAATGGAGAAGCTAAAAAAGAGCAAATATCATCAAGCCCTCCTGCTAAAAGCAACAAAAAACCCTAACCCTGCAAGCTGGGGGCTCAATACTGGCTACATTTTAAATCCGTTATTCTATCTTATGATTTTTACTATTTTTACACTATGTTACTACAGCACAATTCAAATTATAAGTATAAAATTTCTCTGCGCCTATATAATTTGAGAAAAATGTTATTATTAGGGTTGAAAAACACTTTTTATCCAAAGTAATGCACCCAAAAATCTCCAGAGTAAGTGAGCGAGCAATGTCGCAAAGAGGGTGGATGCCTGCCTGGGCCCTATGTGGAGACAGCTGTGTGACCACTGGTCACTGTCCTCTGGGTGGTACTTGCTCTCCTGTAAAACGAGGAGGCTAGAAAAAGACTCCTCTAGAAACTTAATGAATAGATCAATGAATGTCAAAGAGATTCAAAACCCATAATTCTAGTTTCTCTGAAGAAGTATATTTTCCCAGAGGAACAACGATGAATGTAAATATGAATTGGGAATCAGATATTTGAGAATTTTAATTGTAATGACGTAGGAGAATGCACCTAGTTTTTGGAGATGGATATTTAACTATTTTGAGATGAAGTGTCAACTAACGTTGAAATGATTTCAGAAAAAATATAGATAAAACAAAGATGGCAAAATATTAATAAATGTTGAATCTAGGTGATAAGTAGAAGGGTGATAAGCACTTATAAATCCAAGGTTAAGAAGAGATCAACTCACTTTTAGAAATGAGTGAGACATTTGGGAAGGTGCAGAATTCTAAATTGTAGCACTCTGAAGTATAAGAGCTGGTGACCAAAATAAAGGGGAGTAGAGCGATGATTGGCCTTACTAAAGAATTTACCACATGTTAACTCTTCTGCATTTTAACTAGTTTCCAATTTACACACAGTTATGCAGGAACACGAGCACACAGTTTTATATGTGGATCTGTGTGTCTTTCTTGGCAATATCTGGAAAAGAATGAAATTTCCAATTTTATTTTCAACAAATCTTTTAACAAGAATCATAAAAGTAAGAGAAAGTATCAAGAAGTATGACCACTGAAAATCTGATGTTATTCTACTCAGTTTCTAATGAACGTATGCTTATATTATTAAATAAACAGTAGTAAAGAGCTATGTGGTTAAAGCAAGTTGATGCCAATTCATGAAAGTGAATAAAAATAATTTTCAAAATGAAATATTCATGATATTTTCTGTCTTGCTAAGGAGGCATTTTTCATTGGCTTTCTTTCATGGTGAAAGTATCCCGAACCCTGAAAGCAGGCCAGAGGACTCACGCCCATCCGCCAGCCATCTGGATGTCTACGCAAGCAGCTTATGTCAATCTAGACGCTTACCCAATCAGCACTGTCACTTCCTAGGGGTTTTCCAAAGCCTTTAGTAGATATATATTGCCTGAAACAGGTGCACCAATAACAAAGAATGAGAAACATCTCTTCTTCACAGAAAGATATTTATTGCAAGAGACTACGCACCATATACTGTGTGCTTCTTTTTGACAGATTCTTCAGGCAGTTCATAAAACTCATATGCACATTGGTTAAACTCTCACAAGTGTTTTGAGGATTTTTATTTTAAAGCTGCTATATATTAAGCAGGAGAATGATCTATACCAAGACCAAATTATCAGCTAAAACTTCATTAATAAATTTAACAGTTCCTCACTTTCAGCCCTCTTGCACATACGTAAGACAAATAGTGTCTGTCAGCTCATCCAGCAGGGGGACCGCAGCAAGACCGACATCACAAAAGTACCTTTCTTTCCACTGAATGAAGGAAAGGCTCTCTTTCTCTCTGAGTCATGCCTCCAAACTGGCCAGAGACAACAATAGCAACTGTAAAAAAACATCCTGAACCACAGAGGTGGACAGGAAGTCATAAATTCACTTCCCCTCATTTACAAGGTTTGTTCAATAAAGAATACAAGCCTATGTTAAAGTAGCCTTTGGGTATTAAACAAAGAGATATCTATGCATATGAAAACAGACAAGTTAGTGTGGGGCGGAGAGAAGCGAGGGCATATTTAACAAAACAATAAGAGCACCCTTCACAGCAGTCAGTGTAGCCTGAACAGAGCCCAAAGAAACAAAGAAATTTTTAAGAAGTTACAGCATGGGTTCTTCAGGATTCCCAGCAAAACAATGGTCAGATATAAAATGTGTTCCTCGGGGCAAAATGAGAAATGGATAGAGAATATACACTGGAGGTCACAGCAATAAATACAATACTAAATTCTTGGGTCCGTCTGATAGGTTGCAGTGGAAGGAAGACCAGGCTGTGTGCGGGACTCAGAAACTCACCTGGATGTTGACGAACACGCCGTGGTAGGTCTCATACAGAACTTTGTTCCCCTTCACGTGCAGAGGAAATTCGAAGGGAATTTCCGTCTTGCCGCTGGGGAACTTCCCTGGCTTTACCATTTCGATGGTGCTGTTGATGACCTGGACAGGCTGTAAAGAGAGATCCCCTCAGTCCACTGCCGTGGACTTTCTGAGCACCTTGTCACTGTCTTGTTCATCTGAAAGACATGGCCTGAGCCCTCGTGCCACCGCCCTGGTGTCCGGGCAGCACAGTGCTGCATCTGGAGATGAACAGAGTTGGTTCAAGTCTTGGGCACAATAATGGTTCGTTTACAGAACACTTGAGTGTCTGGTGCACAGGAGGAAATGAACCGCTATTTCCCTCTTGTGTCTCCAAATACCCCAGTTAGCCATCCTAAGAACTCACGGGCAGGCACCCGTCTTCAGAATGAAGCAGCAGACTCAGCAAGTGGAGGAACTTGTGAGAGGCTGCCCTCTGCGCCCAGGCTCATCCTGCCCCCGGGCTCCATGGTCCACTAGACTTCTCTGGGCTTCTAGCCACTGGCCAGGTGGGAGGGGCAGGGCCTTTCCTGAGCCCCGTGCCCCTGTGCGGGCTCCAGGGAGAACCACCCTAACATTCAGATGCAGGTATGATACTGTGATCAGTTAAGGTATTCTCAGCTTTGGTTTAGAATCACTTTGAGAAAATCCACAACTTTTGAAGTGAATTACTAAGAGCGACTAAGGAAATAAAAAAATTGTAGAAAACATGGGAAGGCCCCGAATGAAGATACCATTAATGAACCCTTCTTTCCTCTACTCTTTCCCCCTCAAAATTGAGAGTTAATATGTCCTTCAGGAAAAGGAAACTATAAATCCAGAGTGTTTACACTCTGCAGTACTGAACTCCACCCTAAATGACAAAAAGAATGGCCACTGCTCTTACCCGAAAGTCAAATCCAACAGCAGCCATATACACAGTTCAAGTAACAGTTTTATTTGAGGAAGGTGAGGGCCAAAAACCACAGCACAATTTTTCAGAAGAGCCCTGGGCCTCTGTCCCGGCTGGAATCAGTGCACTTCCAGTTCTCCTAATCCTATCTAACAGGAGTAAAAGCAAGCGGGCTTCCAATAACAGGATCTATTCAGAATCAACATATCTATTTTTTCAGTTTGATTAGTAAGTATTAATAGTATGACTATCACTACACTTCTTGCAAAATAACAACAGACAAGAAAAAACCACCACAAACATCTGAATAATGAACTAATAATGTGCAACTCAAGCATTCTTACCTTAACGGAATTGTAGAAAGCTTCGAACACACCCACACTCTTGGCACTGAGCTGGAGGTTCACAGTCCCTTCCACTGTCAAAGAGACGCCCTGGTGCTGGACCGAATCCTTCCCACATATGACCACCACACCAGAGAGCATTTCCTAGGAGACAGGGCAGCCACCAGTCAAATCAGGAGGTCTCTTGATTCACCTTGTTTATTAGCAAACGTAAGGCTCTTTCTTTTTCAAAGAGGCAGACATTCTTTAAGCACTTATTACAGACCAGTCCCCCAGGGGGCCAGGGGGAGAAGGAAGGGCCCCGGGTGGGGTGGGGGTGGGTACTGATAATTACAGGGCAGACTGGACATACAATGAAGGGCAAGGAATCTCATCCCGTCTCAGCCTTCCAGACACATCTTCACAGCCAGCTGGAAGAGTCTCAACAAACTTTTGATCTCAAAAGGCAAAGAGAGCGTCCTGGGGCAAATGGCAGCGATCTTTTCAGAAGGAATGAGATAAAATAAAACCCTTGTCTTGAGGTTCTCTCTCAAGTGTGCTGACAAAAGTGACTCCACATTGCCACGTGCATGAGTAATGTAACACAACTGTTAGCCCAGCAAGACTCACTGCAGAGATCTAGAGGTTTTATCTGTACAACAGTAAAGGCAACACAGCATTCTCACTGAAGAACTTCCTGGTCCCTCCTCGTCATGGTTTATCTGGCAAAAATTCAAGCCCAGATGTCCCTGGTTCATAAATCATTTAAGAAAGATTTCACAACAGATCATCTATTCATTTATCTGGAGATAATTACCAAGTAAGATAATATGAACATTAACTACATTCTTTCTTGGATGGCAGTTTCTTCCTGTCGCCATGGAACTTGATAGTTTCAATTTTCTATGGAGTGGGGTGGGGGTGTGGGGGGGTGTTGAGAGGAAAAGGAAGTTGAAAATATTAAATAGCATCACCCAGAGCGGAAAGAAATTCTACAATAAATACAAAACAACTAGTTTCTTAAATGACCTTCAGAAATGTAGCATGACTGTTGCCAAACGGTAATGAAACAAAGTTGTTAACAAAAAGAAAAGGAGCAAAAATTAAAAATGACCTGCAGATTATAGCATTTAAAAAAAAAAATCTGTCCTACTGGTAAATCCATTTACCTCTTATTTCCTGTAGTCATCTAGTGAAAAAACATTCACCAAGTCTTCACCTTACGCAAAACTTTGGGAAGCTGGGAACATTCCCTTAAATGTGCTAGGTATTTTGTTTGTCTTGCCCACTCCCCATCCCAAAGCACAGAAGTCTGAATTAAAACACACACCATCACCCAGCCGGTGTGGCTCAGTGGTTGCGCATCGACCCATGCACCAAGAGGTCGCCAGTTCCATTCGTGGTCAGGGCACAATCCCAGGTTGTGGATCAAACCCCCAGTGGGGGGCATGCAGGAGGCAGTCAATTGATACTCTCTCTCATCGATGTTTCTAGCTCTCTCTCCCTCTCCCTTCCTCTCTCTAAAATCAATAAAGAAAAAAAATAAACACCATCATCTCCATTTTAAGCAGAGAGGGAGGGGGAGACAGAGAGAAACAGAGAAACATCAATGTGAGAGAGACACAACTGGTTGCCTCCTGCACGTGCAACCCAGGTACATGCCCTTGACTAGGAATTAAAACTGAAACCCCTCGGTGTACCAGCCCAGGCTCTATCCACTGAGCCACAATGGCCAGGGTGAACTCCTTATGTTCTTTTATTTATTTACTTATTTTTGTTCATTTATTTATTTTTTATCCTCACCCGAGGACATTTTTCCATTTTTGTTCAGATAGAATGGGAGGGAGAGAGAGGAAGAGAGAGAGAGAAACATCGATGTGAAAGGGACACATCAAGTGGCTGCCTCCCAAACAACCCCAACTGGGGCCGGGGACAGACTGCAACCGAGGTACATGCCCTTAGCGGGAACCAAACCCAGATCTCTCTGGACTGCAGGTCGATGCTCTAACCACTGAGAAAACCAGCCAGGGCTGTTCTTTTATTTTTTTAAAAATGTTTTTATTGCCTCGGCCAGTTTTCTCAGTGGTTAGAGCATCTGCCTGAGGACCAATAAACCTTGGGTTGGATTCCACTCAAGAGGCACGTACCTTGGTTGCGGTTCATCCCTGGCCCTGGTCAGGATTTCGCGGGAGGCATCTGCTCGATGTGTGCCTCCTGTGTCAATGCTTTTCTCTCTCTCCCTCCCTCCCACTCTATCTGAAGATAAATAGGAAAAAACAATGTCCTTAGGAAGGATTGAAAAAAATCTTTTTAATAAAAATAAATGTTTTTATTGATTTTTTTTGAGAGAGACAGATAAAAACATCAATGTGAGAGAGAAACATCGATCAGCTGCCTCCTGCACACCTCCTAATGGGGACCGAGCCTGCAACCCAGGCATGTGCCCAGATCAGGACCTCTCGGTCCATGAGACAATGTTCAATCCATTGAGCCACACCAGGTGGACTCCTTTTGTTCTTAAAATAAAAAGTTCATGAGCAAATTTGAATGAAAGTTCCTCTGAAATAACTTTTAAATTTAATTAAAATTATTTCCATTAATTTTTATATAACCCAAACAAAACAGAAATCTCATTTTTAAAAACTTAAATCCATCAGCATATATTTTTGTTAAAGATTTTTCCACTGATTTTAAGAAAGAGAGAAAGAAAGAGGGAGAGAAAGAGACAAACATCCATGTGAGAGCAGAGCATTGATTGGCAGCCTCCTGCACAACCCTCACTGGGGATCGAGGCTGCAACCCAGGTATGTGCCCTGATTAGGAATTGAACTGGCAACCGTTCAGTGCATGGGACAACACCAAAACAACTGAGCCACACAGGCCAGAGTCACCACCAATATATTTTTAAAAATACACTTCAGTGGTATGTCCCAGAAATAAAATAATTTCATAAACTTTATCAATTAAACAACACAACAGCACTTGAGGAAAGTTCTGCTTCTATTTAATCAGAACAATTTCAGTTAGCCTCATGGAACTGGGATCTGGGTTGACTAGTGGTTGGCATATGATAATCAGGATGTTAATAGAAACTTCCCTTCCTTGATCCCTACTGCATAACCGGGAAAAAGCAGTGAAGTACCTTGGAAGTAATCAGAGGAAATACTTTATGACCCAAGGGACTCTTTTGTCATTCTTTGATTTTAATTAAGAAAGAACAGCTCTGGCCAGTTTGGCTCAGCGGTTAGAGCGTCGGCCTGCGGTCCGGAGAGACCCGGGTTCGGTTCCTGCTAAGGGCACGTACTTCGGTTGCAGTTTGTCCCCGGCCCTGGTTGGTCGTGCGGGTGGCAGCCACTCGATGTGTCCCTTCACGTCGATATTTCTCTCTCTCTCTCTCCCTCCCACTCTATCTGCACAAAAAATGGAAAAATATCCTTGGGTGAGGATAAAAAAAAAAAAGAACATAGTGGAGAGAATACAAAATTAATAAATATTTATAGAAAAATTAGACATCCTAACAATATACAGGTCTATTCAACTCCTACCAACAAAAGGAGGATATAGAATTAGTCCAAGTACAGTCCAAGGAACCAAGAATTTTAGAAACAGAAGATATTTCAACAAGACTCACGGTGCCCAGGCTGGTTTTGTTCAGCGGTTAGAGCATCAACCTGCGGACCAGAGAGACCCAGGTTCGTTTCCCACCAAGGGCACATACCTTGGATGCAGTTTGGCCACGGCCCCAGTTGGGGTCATGTGGGTGGCGACCAGTAGATGTGTCTCTCTCACATTGATGTTTCTCTCTCTCTCTCTTTCTCTCTCTCTCTCTCTTTCTCCCTCTCTCCCTCGCACTCTATCTAAAGATAAATGCAAATAAAAAAAAAAGTCCTCCGACGAGAATATAAACAAACAAACAAATAAATAAATAAATAAATAAAAAGACTCAGGGTAATGAGAAAACAATCTTTTTTTCATTTTATTTTTTAAATTGAGTTATAATTGACATATAACACTGTATTAGTTTTAGGTATACAAGACAATTCTTGATTAATCCTGGCAAAGGAGGATAGAATGAACCTGAATAATTAAAAATTAAGGGAAATCCCAGATGTCAGGGAGAACTCCCCCCACAGACTTGTATCTAAACGCGAGAAAACAAGGTTAAGGCTCTGGGTAGTGCCCATACCTCACCCAACATAATAAGCAGAGGTTCTTCAACTGAGGGCCATGGCTTCAGGGAGAGGCCACTCATAGACGTAAGGATGGCAATGAGCCCCAGAAACGCTGTACAAAATCATGCACATGTGCTATTTTTTAGGGAGAAGAGCCATAGCTTTGGGCCTACCATCAAGGAGGCCCTTGACCTGAGAAAAGTTGAGAACCACAGATGAGAGCCATGCAGGCCCCAGGTGTGTGCTTGTGCAGGACACAAAGTAACAGACCCAGTTTTTCAACTGCACATCTGGCACCTTCACAGGGCCTTAGCCCTGTGCTACCGTCCGAGTGGGCCAGCACTGTGAAACCCCTCTGTGAGGTGGTGCCTTCAAGGGAACCACACCACACAGAGCCCACTGCAAACCAGCTCAAGTCTGCCCTGGAGGAGCCAAGTCTAGAGAAAGGCCCCAAGCAGCCATCTTCAACCACAAACTGAAAGATCAGGCTGGGAACAAGGTGTTCAAATGCTACTGGTCACACCTGGCCCTCACAGCCCTGCTGGCCTTCTCAGCAGAAACCACTACCATAACCTTTTCTAACTTTGTCTTCTCTGAATGTGAAAGGCCACCACCAAACTACACAACTATTGTTTTTTCTTGTTCTCAGGAATTAAATACTAAACTGAATAATTAGGACTCTGGGTTTGAAGACATCAAGTCAGCATCCCTCCCTGGATTTCTGGAAATCACCCAAAAGAATAAGAAACAAAACCACAAACTCCGATTTCAGAGAAGCAAGGAGACATAAAATACCATGAAAGAGGTGGAATCGCTGCTAAAAAGAGTGAAGACTAGAGCAGAGTGGGGTGGGGGACACATGCAGTAAAAAGCCCAAACGAGGCCCAATGGCTGTAAAAATAAGCTTCTTGAAGGTGACAGCACACTGAAAGAATTGTTTAGGTTCTAAGGAGCAGAGGAGGCTGAGCCCAATGAGGAATCCTACAATAGTGC